GAGGCGGCCCGGGGGACGCGGAGCCCGGGAGGGCCGTCCCGCCCTGCCGTGAGGGACCCGCGGTGGGTGATGTGCGGTTTATAAAAGTTAGCTGAAAATCCCGTAGATCCCCGATTTTCAGAAACCGCGTGTCTCTACGCGCGGAGGAGTTCAGTTTTGTTGGGGTGGTCTTCAGAAGCGAGGGCATACTGAGTGCGTCCCTTGGTTCTGCTTCGCTCTGAAGTGATGGCTATAAAAGAAAGCGGCTTGGAAGAAAATATTTGGTTTCTGTGACAGCTTGCAGATTAGTTATTATCACGTCTGTTTTAGGTAAATAAGGGCTTCTTTTAAGCCAACAGATATCGAAAAAAGCATGTTTAATGAAGCATGTTAGAATTTCAAAAATTAATCAGCAAATGGCTGTATGGTAGAAAATGTAGTACTCTTAACCTTAGATCTCAGGTCTCAAGAGACATTAGATCTCCTAGAAAATTGTCCAATGAAATGAAAAGACGAATTATAACTAGTCTTATTGGAGGGCCAAATGTATCAATTAAGAAGCATGCAGAAGTATAAGAATATGACTGGTATATGCAGAAAGCACAGTCTGGTGAAATAAAAGAGCTGGGTAGATGGTTTAAGACATTAGTAAGGAATACTTTCTCTGACTCCATTTGGAATGTATCAGATGAGTAGTTTTCTCAGTGAAAGAGGTCAGACAAGCATTTATATGGTTATCCAGCTTTGAAACTCCTTTAAGGAGGATCAGAGCCATGGTCAGGCGGGCTGTGGGGAGGTGGTGGGGAAAGCTCATGGCATTGGGAGAGCAGTGCAGGAGGCAATGGAAGTGCCCTTTGCTGTGCACTGAAGGCAGCTGTACCTGCTCAGGTGAAGGTGGTACACATGATCCAGCTTTTACAGGCATCAGCATCACCAGTGGGGTAGGGCTGCTCAAGGGGAAGCAGCAGCCTGTCTCTAGGAAGCCCTGGACACCTCTCCTCTGTGGCAAAGGCAGAGCTCCAGCCATGACTACTGTGGGTATCTAACCCTGCTTCAGTCTGAGCTGGCCAGGAGCATTTCTGAGAAGAGGCAGAAAGGCTGTGTCCTGTCAGTGGGGAAGATACAAGTTGCAATAGCGCCTCATGGCCACTACTTGCATTACCTTGATCTCTGAAGTCCTGTCAGTGAAGTCAATAAAACACATGGTTCATCTTCAGCTGATGTGACACAGCCGGGAATGGAGGAACTGTGGTGTGTGGCAAAATATCCTGATTTTATTCCTGGGGACCTCAGTTCAAAATTTACTGCCACTTCCATTAGGATCAGCAGATACCATGGAACATGGAATCATGGGCTAGAAGATCACAGCAGGACTTCCCCATTTCCAGAGCAGTCTCTGAATCCCCACTATGTTTGCTCTGGAGCCTGTGTATCCCATAATAGTAAAAGAGACTAGAGAATCAACAGACCCTTTGTACAGAGAAGGGTGATTACACTTTTTTAACAGTTGGGCTGAATGGCACTGTTGCATTAGGAGTGTTTATAGCTGTGTAAAACATAGGCATCCTTTATAATACGTATGTTTTTATAAATAACACCCTATCTGCAAGGAGTATCCACAACAAAGTAAGATTCTCAATAAATGTTGAAGTGTGATAAATTCAAAGATTGAGGAAAAGATTGCGTATGAAAAATTATCTGGGTCACTTGTTGGTAAGCATTTTGGTCTTTAATTATAAAGGCTTAATGAAGTGAGTGGAAGTAGTTTTGCATTTTGTATTTATACAAAATGTTAAGTTTAGACAGCTGGTATTAATTGTCATAACTCGCTGGCTTCAGTGGAGCTGATGGTTGATGCCAGCTCAGGATCTTCCCCTATGCATGATAATATTAGTATCTACTTCAGTATCTGTAATTGGTACAACAACTGGTACTGTCATTCCAGACCAGTTATGGGGAGGACATAAATGATGACCATTTCCCTCCTCTCTCCAGTTCAGTTTAATATTTTGTTAAATATTTTGACATTGTGGACTGTACTTGCCTCTGCTCGGTGCTTTGTCTGCAAGTTCCAACTCTCACAGTTTGGTTTTCTTATATAATGGAGTCTTCCCTGCAAGTGGATCACAAAGAGGAGACAGATGGTAAACGTAACTTAGACCGTGCCATGAAGGGCTTATTTATAACTCACAGTACCCAGTAGGAGAGAGGGGGCCTCCTGAAAGGAGGAATCACAGAGGAACAGGACCTTTTTTTAAAGTCCTGACTTCATACTCCTATTGTAAAGTGTTCAGTTCAGGGAAATGCTGGTATTTTTTCTGTCTCATGTGAGGATGTTTATCATGCCCTTGAAAAACAAGAATTTTTTTAAAGAAAGCAATTTTATTATTTATGGGAAGGTTTTTAATTTTTTAATCTGGTTAAAGCTACACAACTTTTTTTTTTTATCAATTGAGTACTCTGACCTGCTTTCAGAAATGGAAATTAATTAAATTTAAGGAGATGGATTTTGGGACTCGAACGATCAAACTTTCTGTGTCCCCTTAATAGTTTTCTTTTTTGACTTTTTTTGCCCAAGTAAGATTTTAGAGAGGCTGCATGAAAACCTGAAAAAGTGCTATGATCATAAAAGATCAAGGCATATTGGAGGTGACTGCTTGTCCATTTAATGTGTAAGATGTTTGAAAGCAGTAATTTATTTTTTTACAGAATATTTCTAATCTGTTGCCTGGTTTCCTATGCATTATTGGTTTTGTATTATGTTTTTACCTGAACTTAGAGATCCCTCTCTGCATTACAGCCAGTGAAGTTAAAAGGCATTTTCTTTTCTTTCCAACTCCAGAGGTAGGACCATCGATCACTGGATGCAGGTTAAATTTCTCTTGAGGAGTGGACCTTTCAAAGGGACCCTGCAGTCTGGTACTTTCGGTATAGAACCCAAAACACCAGACTAACTTTATGAAATATATGTAATTTAATTGTAGGAAAGATAAAATATGGAGAGAAAAAAAAATTACACTATTTTCAGGTGAATGCTGGAGTGGTGAGACTGGGTCAGCAAAGGGTAAGAAGCTGAACTCGTTTTTTGTTCATGGTTATGTTTAAAATTATCATCTGAGATTTTTTTGAGTTGGAAGCGTCAATGAGGAACTCTTACAGCTTCTGCTGAGATATGTTATCTTGGGAAATAGAAGAAAAGATGAGACTGAATATTAAGATCGGACAGCTTTGTAATCAGAGAAATAGTTTCTGAAGTAAGCGACTAAACAGGCAGGCTTGTGTTGCCTCAAAAAATAAGAGTTGCTTTTATTAGATGAACTCTGAGAAAATACCAAACAAGAATACATACATATAAATGCACAATTTAATATAACTAGCTCATCTCAAAAGGGAATTAGTAGGTCAAGGTTTCTTGGGTTGGAAAATCTATTACTGCATGCTTCTGCAAAGCTATTGGCAGATGAGGAAGGCACTGTTCTTCCACAATTTGTAGGTGTCAGGACTTCCTGATGTAACCACTTGGGTTTTCTCAGCACCAATTAATTGACTGTGACCCTCTCCTGATGGTGAGGCAGATACAAAGGAGCTTCAGTCCCCAGTGCTTGTTTCTGAAGCTGCTGTCACTGTTTCACAGACCCAACCCAAAACTCAAGAAGTGCTTCTTTTTTCTTAAATATTTTGATTACTTTTATTAGGAATTACTCATCTGCCCTGAGGGGTGCCTGAGGCAGGGTCCAGCTGCTGGTCCTGCTCGAGGTTTAATGGCATGGAGAGGGATGGAAGTGTAAACATGGGTGGTATCATGTTTAGCAATGCGCTGGTGCTTTATATCAATATCTTTTAGCATCAGAGGTGGAGGTAGGATGACTTGCAGAGGCAAAATGCCTTAGAGCCAGCTGGCTAACCTTCAAACATATTAGTGATGCCAATGAACTGGAAAGTAGCCTAAAGTAATAGCAGATATGGCAGTATTCCAAACAGCAGAAACATATCTGCCATCTTGAAGGCCCACAACCTGTTGGACTGGCACTACTTTGGAAGTTCTGACAGCAGGAATTTGCAAAGAAAATCTTTTTCCAACATTCACACTTCTAAGGAAAATTTCGGATTTGTTATCCCACTGTCAGGAGATTCAGATAATTGGAGCTATCAGAAAGGTTTAACACAAAGTCTTGAATAATGAACATCATCATCTTCTTACAATTAATTGCACATAATAAACCAGACTTTGGAAGAGTCGATTTTCAAAAGACTTCAAGATGAAGTCTTTTATCCATGGGGTACATTGCTGTGGTCAAGATTAGTGGTAACCTTACCTTGAGGTGTTGAGGTGAAATGGAATTTCTTCTGACAGATTATCTTTGAGTCTTCTCTGCTCCAGCCCTGCGTTAAGGGTAAAAGGTCTCTGTGTCCCAGGTTACTTCAGTGCAAGGATTGCACCAATTCATGACATTCCTTTGTTTCCTGATGTGTTCCTGCAGTGAACCTTTGAGTCAGCTGCTGGATGTTAAGTACAAGGCTAAAGGTTGCCAGCCCCAAGTGGGGAAGGAGCCATTAAAAGAGCAGACTAGCAGAAGAAGAGAACAGAGAACTTTCTCTAAGACCTGCTTATAGAAATAAGGAAGTTAAAACAGTTGAAGTAGTTTTAAGGTTATACTGATCACAGTGGGGATTTTACTGATACGCACAGAAGTCAGCTAAAGGATATAAATCCTGCAGTGTACAAATGGATGGTAAAGCCTACAGGGACTCTGAGGCTACAGAATGCTGATGCAATTATCTGCCTTTCTAGACTCCACACAATTCTTACATGCTATTGCTGATCTGAAGCGATCTCAATAGGAACTGCCACTTGGTGATTATGCGTTCACAAGTGAGAAACTGAAATGTCTTGGATTCCTATCTGTCTACAAATGGAGTGGGGTGAGGGTGGTGTGACTTTCTGTACCAACTTGTTGAAAGGGAACACCAAAACACCTGGAGATGCTCTCCAGGACATCTCTATTGAAGCCAAATTTGAAGAGTTTAGAATTTGTAAATCAGGGCAAACATTGGTAGCGAAATGCTCTTGTTTCGTATGTTGTGACTCCTTCCATTGGGAAAAATATCCCAAGATCTCTAAGAATCCCACTCCATCTGTGCACCTACAGCAGTGCCAGTAAGCATTGCTGATATTGGTGTATTTTTGAAGAGTTTACATGAAAACAACTCTTAATATTATTTTTAACTACATATTTCTGTGTTTATAATCTGTTTGCAATTAACAGAGAATTTGAAAAATAAGAGCTTAACTTTCCATATCATGAAAATCCCTGACTTCAGCTCCTCTAAACCACAAGTGAGAATTCTCTTCCAGTGGTGAGCTGCTTTTCCAGCAGCATTTCCAGCCCCTTATTTGCACCATGTTTGGCGCACTGAGATTTAAGGCTTTCCTGGGACTCAGAGGATCAATAAAATACAGACAGCAGTAGCGCTGGAGTCACATCATGATTTCCTTCCACAAGCTCTGACAGACCTGAGGCTTAACAGAAAAGAAAAAAAAAAAGAAGAGAAAGTGTCTTTTTGTTAGTTTCCTAGTAAATACAGCATACTTTAAAATTTATAGCAATTTTCTTCTAAAAAATGCTCTGCAATTTCCAGAACACAGTTACATAAAGGCTTGGAGAACAGCCCTAGGAGAGGGGACAGCATCACGTTGTGTGTTGTGTGAAGGGCCGGAGCTGCAGCGGTGCCTGTCCCGCAGGAGCTCCCCCGGCCCGTCTCTCCCCGCTCTGTGCAGCCGCAGGAGGAGAAGCAGCGGCTCGGGAAGGCCGGCGGCTCCCGGCCCGAGCTCTCACAGCTCGGGCTGCAGCTGCGGCACGCTCCTTGTGCTTTCCCTTGCGCTGCCACCAGCGTCGGGAACAGCGGATTGGCAACAAGCAGCCCGAGCAGCCAGAGTCTGGCTCCAAGTTGTTATTGTTTGTTTTTTTAAAATGGAAATTAGAACCCAGTATCTAGGACTATATAGAAGAGTTATGAGCATGAATAGTGAATCATAAGCTTGTTCTTTTAATTACTGTGGCATACTTAGAACCTATTCATGTCTTCAAAAGCCCCAGAGGACCAAGTGAAATTGTGATACATCAATTTCAGCCTATGCAACTTATTTACAGGAAGATGGTTAAAGCATCATTTAAAAGGAAAAGAAAGGAATGTAACTACAACTGTTTCTTTCAGGTAGAAACTGAAAGCCATCTTAAACATACCAGGTGCAGAGCACAACACAGTAACCATGAATGACATTGCACAGAAAACTGAGGTATGTACCAATTTTAAAGTAATCAAGGCAATGTAATTTACAACCGATGCTTGCAAAAGTTATAATTACAAATAATTGTAAAGGACTGGAAGTCTGCTGGTATTGCTATTATTTTAGACAACATAAGGGGGCTTGTTAAGTAGCTTATGATTTGATGGAACCTGTGAATTATATTCTTATTAGGAGAAATGAAAGACTAGGGGAAAATAAATGCAATGAAATATGAAGAAGGTTTAAATGTTGGTAGCGAAATTCTGGGCAACATTTACATCTGATTGTAAATATACTAGGCTTCAAATATTTATTCTTCTACACAGACTTAGTGAGTAGCTGGAACAAAAAACATCTGGTATAGGTGGAAAAATATGAAATATAGCATGTTTTTAGTCAGTTTTCTCAGTATTACTTTATTGAGAGCATTCCTGTTGTCATCACTGTAAAAAGAAAAACTTCACAATAGTTCTGGAAGTGGGAACCTTTGGTGTTTGTTACTCTGTTACATCTGCAGAGTAATCCTTGGCAAAGAAGTGTCCATTTGATGTATCAGCATCAGAGCCCTGATAGTCCAGCTATCCTTGCATTTCGTAACATAAAATCATTGGGCTCCTGGTTTTCTCTAGATACTAAAAAACTAGGCATATCATGTATTGGAAGTTTTAAATTAAGAAATACCACTGTTTATTTAAAAACTATAGATGGCTGTTGAAGTGTTGCAGAAAAACTCCCATAGGTATGCATCTATGTCTTCATATTTCTTTTAAATGTTAGGGGCAGAGACTCTTTGGTGACTGCTTAAGATTGAAAGCAACAATAAAAATGTGTATCTAATAGTTTAATATAATGCTGAATATTGTTTTGGATATTTTAGTATTTATGACAATTTATGAACAAATACAATTATGCTTAACTGATGATGATGGCTCATGGCACAAAAATGTTCATAATCTCAACTGCACTTCTGTTTTAAGTTTTTACATTCTTTCTAATCCAATCTATCAGAATATTTCTGTCCATCTGTTTCAACTTTCTTTTTCTTATCTTCATTTCTTCTATATCCTCACCAAGATTCTGCTTTCTTCATCTAAACCTGTCCAAAAGTCCTATGTGCCCAAGCTTCACAAGGGTGATGTAAAGGATAAATTTGAAGCTATGCAGAAAGCAAGGGAAGAAAGAAATCAAAGGAGATCTAGAGAAGAAAAGCAAAGAAGAAAAGAACAATATGTTAGAGAGAGAGAATGGAACAGGAGAAAGCAGGAGGTTATTTTCTTTGCTAATATTTTGTGTTATATTAATATTTAATATTGTTTTTGAAAATCTATTAATATTATTTTAAGACAATAATAGTGGGATTTCATGTAAGTTATAAAGAGAGTTTACTTTCTGTGTTTCATCAACTAGATGAAAGAACTGCTTGGATCTGATGAAGACGATGACACCAAACTATCTAAAATAGAAAAGGGTTATGTTCCAAAGCTCATAGGTAAGAGAGCCCCAGGTTTAAGGGCACAGAATTCTCTGGGTAAGTGTTAGATGGAACTGTTGAGCTGTGCATTCCATGTCCACAGGAACCGTTAAAGGCAAGTTTGAAGAAATGGAGAAGCAAAGGCAAGAAGAAGAAAGAAAAAGAACGGAAGAAGAAAGAAAGCGCAGAATTGAACAAGACATGATTGAGAAAAGAAAAATACAAAGAGAACTGGCAAAAAAGGCACAGGAGGTATGTTCATCTGATCACATCAGTTAGGATGCAATTGTAAACAACATGAAAAACGTTTTGTATTGATCAGAAAGATCTGATCTTAAGATTTCTCAAAGTAGAGATTTACATGGTAGATGCTCAGTGGGGTGGAAGTGAGATATATTCAGAGAGTCTTCGTGTCTTTACAGTAACAATTTTCTTGTCAGTTCTAAAGTTGAGTTGCAGATGAAACTGGGCAGGCATAAACCTGCGAGGAACCAGGCACAAATTTTGGTCATATGCATATGAGTTTACTAAAATAATTTGAAAATGTTTCTTGTATTTTATAAACTCTTACTTTAGATAACCCTTGCTTGTAAGCTAGTGAATAGAATTCACTGATACACGCACTAAAGCAAGCAAGAAGTAGTAAGAAAACACCAATGGCAGGTAAAAATGAGACAACAGTAATGCAATAAAATAATAAATAATTAAGATCCAGGTGATGTTTTATTCCTTTGCCATTTTGTGAATCATCATTGCATATATATGTATATATATAAAATATATATATATATATGAACAGACTCCAACTTTTGTTGATCCTAATAAATTCTGTCTTTTGTAGCATTCTGTGAAGGGATATGAAACTTAATTCCTTTTGCAAGTTGTCTTCAGTGCTACAAATACTGCAGTGAGAGTAAACATTTAAATGATAGACTTAAGACTAAAAACATATGCAAATTTCAATTTAACAAAATGACAGTAGTGCTTAATTTAGGTTAGAATTTGCTGTGAGAAATGAAAAGTAGTGCTATGCTGTAATTATTGCAATAGGAGAAATCAGTTTTTGGATAGTCTTTCCTAGTAGAACTTCTAACATTGTTAAAACTGTACTTTTAATTGGCATTGTATCTAGCATATATTTTATCTACCCTGCAAGGCAGAAGTCCATTCATGCAGAATTTTAAAAAGTACGTTAATTTTAGGCCGTAACATAGGCACACCATAGGAAGCAAGCACAGCATTAGGAGATGCTAGGGATTAGGACATTTTTTCAGGAGATGAGGGGAATATAATGTCACTTGAATCAGAAATAATCAATGACTTCGCTTTAGATTTTTAAATTTTTGGGTTTTTTTTACGCAATTCTGGAATGTATAAATGAAGAATGGACATCTCAATGCCGTTCTTGGTTCAGCACTGTGTTGAAAACGCTTTAGCAGACTTTGTGTGGGATGTTTTATGTCTTGTTGCCTCTTCCTCGACAAGCTGACCTATCTGAAGTATTCCAACAGAGCTTCGGTCATTACCATCTCCGTGAATTTACGTGCTACATACATAGCACTGATACAAAAAGTATTTCCAGTTCTGTGTTTGCAACTCTAAGGCAAAGAGCCAAATTAATGTAATCATATGAAATTCTCATTTAATAGATTGATGACTTTAACAATACGGGAACTGAATCAGCAGCTGAGGTAATCAGATTTTTTTAAAAAAATGTTCACCTACATTTTTATTCACTTTGTTTTATAATTGTAATTTGGGTTGGGAAAACTTAGAAAACAGCACACAAATACCTCATTAAAGTTCAACCAAGGAGCTAACAAATTTTTAACATATATGGAACTATCTCTGTACTTGAAATCAATATACTGAAGTCTGAAACAGAGCCTGGACTATGAATATTTTGTGGTTAGTTAAAACCATCTAAAATGTAAATAATCAAAGCCACCAGAATTATTTGCTATATATTTGGAATGATTCTTTTAAGTCCTCTGGCTTTGCAAAGAATTATCTTAAAAGCTCTTTGCCTTAAACTTGAAATTAAAGGTGGATTCTGACAACAGACAGATGTTTGAACACCTCACTCAGTTAACTTTTAAAAATTTTTTCACTAATATACCATATGGGTTTTAATTTTAAGTCTTGCAAATAAATATTTAATTTCAAAAAGCTGAGTCCAAAGGTCCTATTGTCTTTCACTAACACAAGAAAATCACACTCCTACTACAGTTTTGGAAAGCAAAAACTAAACCGGCAAATTCCTCAGTTTAAACTTATTTGATGGGGGGAAAAATATGGGTAAATTATATTTTGGCAAATAAGCTGTAAAAATAGAGTTGGAGCAGCAACATTCTTCAAAAAACAATTACTGTACCTGACAAATTACGCATTAGAATTTATAAATTACATATTTCTGTGTTGAGCTATTGGCTTATTCCAGCTGCAGTTTATTATCATTTATATAATAAATGGAAAACTGGAAGTAGAGTGTGGTTACAATTGCTGTGGATTCAGAATTACACCTGTTCTTTTCCAAACCTTGAGCTTTTATGGCTAACAGTTAATGAAAATCTATAAAGTTTGCCAGCCGTTATGTTTCAAATATAATTCAGTCTTGATACTTTTCAGATATTAGGAGAAAACTAGTGACTGCCATAGGCAGGTGGATTTATTCTTGTGGGTAATATTCAATACAAGTAAATCTTTTGGAAGCTTTGGTGCACACAGGTTAAAAGCAGCAGGTTCATAGAAATGAATCTATCTAGAAGTCAAGGTTCATGAAAATATAATACATATCTTTTTGGACAGGAAGGGGATGATTCACTGCTAGTTACAGTAGTGCCTGTAAAAAGCACCAGGACACCTGGGAAGATGAAAATAATCTCTGAGAACACTGGAAAGGAGAGAGCAGAACAAATAAAGACACAGGATGAAGAAATGAAGCTAAAATATGAGGAACAAAACCAATTCCTTAAGGAACCCAAGTGCCTTTCATTTGTCAAGGTAAACCAGTCATCCAAAAATACCTATATAGTAGACACTTATTGCCTTAAGATACAACTGTTTCGTTTTTCTTACACAGGGTGAAAATGAAAGCAATGAAACTCAAGAGCCTCTGTCTCCTGGTAAGCTGAAAGTCACATTTGAAGAACTGGAAAGACAAAGGCAAGAGAATCAAAGGCGGCAAGCAGAGGAAGAAGCAAGACAGCGTCTGGAAGAGGAAAAACGTGCCTTTGAGGAAGCCAGGCAGCAAATGGTAATACATTCATGTTCATGTTGGCACAGAATTTGCACATTTCCTGTTACTTTCTTTCCTCTATATGCGATTCTTCTTTTTTCTAATTCCTTAAATTTATTTCAAGCTGTTAAGAGCCTGGAAATGAGTTTTTGAAAGACATTTTTGACCTTTGTTCTAAATCAGTTACCACACTGGGTTTCAGACATTCTTTTAGTAAACCTAAGAAATACAGGTGTTTTGATTTTGTCAGCAACTTAGTAGATTTTTCATCTACACTTTGTAATACCTTAAACTGTAAGCCTTCAAGAAGATGAGTGGCTGTTTTCCTGAAGTAATGCTGCAGATAGTTCAGTTTTTGATGCAAACATTCCACAGTAACAGAATGCTATTTCTTATCCCATATTTATTTGTAAATGTGATAGAAATATTCATCAATTACAACTCTCCTCCTTATGAAGAAAGGAAAAAAAAAATCAGCTCTTTTGTATGTACAACATACTATAAATTACTAGATGAAGTCCCTGCAATTTGTCAGAAATGCTGCTCACAGATCCTGTTTTATATTACTCTGCAAAGTGCCTTCAGATGTGCTCTTTATCATGTCAGAGTTACATTAGATCAGCTATAAAAAGACCTCACTATAGTTTGTTCTTTGATCATATTGAAGAAATCATACACTTTTAACCTAAGATAACCAGATAGTTTAGTTCTGCATTTCCTTGTTTTTCCATACTCCATTTCCAATAGCATTTTTAAAGTTCTGTATTTTCATACAGAATTTCCCCTGTACCATCATGATCACTATGGCTTTCTTAATTCAAATACAAAATCACATACAAATGAGATTAACAAGAAATGAGATTTTAATCTTGCATAAAAACTTGGAAAATATTATTTATAGGAATTTGCTAGTTTTAACAGAATATAATTATGCATGAACAGTCTTGGAAAAACAGCTCTAGATCAACTTAAACAAAACCAACAACACAGAACTTCTAGAAAGCTGAAACATACAAATTCCCAACTGGTCCATACTGAGAGAGTTCTAAGTTTAGGCAGATACCCAAATTGTAGTTTACTTTTTCATCTCCACCTCCAAAAAATCCCTGCTGTTTCACACCAATAACCTTGCCATTATATCAGTAATGCATTTTATTCTTTTTTGTTTGGGGCTGGGCAAGGAATTCCAAGGAAGCAGAAGAGCAAAGAAACTGAAGAAGAGTGAACTTCATGAAATCACTTAGATGTTCTAACTGAAGATTAGTTCACATCTCTCTTCCTTATGCTTATGCATTTTTTATCAAGTAATATGAATTCATTTACAATTTCTCCACATCCAAAGAAACTTTCTAACATGAAGTTGTACCTGCTGACCAGTGGTTGTCAAAATTTGAAGTAAACATTTTTCTTAAGAATTCAGCAGTTAATTTCCTTCAATTCTTTATTTTTTTTTTCCCTTAAAAATATCAAACGAAAGATTTCTCTAATTCCCTTAATGGGCTACCCCACATACCAGTCCCAGGGCTGCTCACAGTATAGAGATCTGGATTATCAGTACTCTGACAGCTCCCAGTCCACTTCCTCCATTAACAGATAAAAGTACTCTGAGATGTCCTCTGAAAGGGGTTCTTGATTGCAGTTTGCAAACCACAGGCTTCTCTTAGCAGGTAAGTGTTCACTGCAGAGAAGCTATAGCGAAGAGATCAGAGTATCTCAATTCCTTCAGTGATGATTAAATGTCTAGAAAGAAAAGAAACAAAAATCTCAGTCTGGAATAATAGCAAAATGCTAACCAATTCAGTTTTGGTATAAGACTGTACAGCATTTCTTTAACTGGTGCACTGATGAAAGTGATTTCTATACAAACAAAAGACTTGATGGTATAAACATCTATGGACATGATGTAAATAAAGAGAATAGAGAGTGATTTACAGTAAATGATCCAACAATGAGACCATAAAGTATGTACTTAACTGTTCAGCCTCCTCCTGATAACGCACTGCTCTTTGAATTACACACTCAACAGATTTTTAAAAATTTTAAAAGCTACATGTAGGATACTGAAAATTTCTTTTCTTGCTCCCCTGGCTAAAACAAAGTTTAAAATGTTTTTCACAGGAACCTAACTCTTGATGCATTTTTTTCCCCCCCAAGGAAAAAACAGTATTTATAAAAGATCAGAAAGGAACAGTGTATTTGTTTACTATAAAGAGAATATTCTGATTGGGTAAGTACTTTCCATGTTTTCCTCTCCCTATTCTCTTAAGATAAATGAAGGTGCTGATGAAGAATCTGAAAATACTGTTAAAGAATTCCGCCCTGGTAAACTCAGACTCAGTTTTGAGGAGATAGAAAGACAGAGGAGAGAAGAGGAAAAGAGGAAAGCAGAAGAGGATGCACGACGACGCATAGAAGAGGAGAAAAGAGCATTTGCTGAAGCAAGGAAAAACATGGTATGGTATTTTGATTTAGCATAAATTTAATTTTTACTTAAATCTTGATCTGGAAAGAAACTCTGGGAAAAAAAAAACTTTAAATAAAATTAGGAATACATGCTTCAACTCCATTAATTAGTTCACTTCACTATTCATTAAAAGGTAATGGGGTAAACTAGTCAAGTTCATTTATCAAAAATCATCAGAGAACAATCCCTCCTCACAGCCAGCCTAGAGAGGATTTCAGATAATTTAGTCAGAATCAGGTATTATAGCTGGTGGGTACGATTATGCTAGATGCAACATACTTGGGAAGCAAAATGTTTCCACAAGGAGGCTTTGTTGTTTTGCGTTTTTTGGGGAAGAGCAATTTCTTATATAGCTCCAAGTTTATTCCCCTACCTCTACAGGGTATACCCCAATCATCTCTTGCTACTAAAGCACAGTCAATGGCACAGTAGAAAAATGCTCACTGCAAGCATGAACCTTCCAGTCATCTGTGGCTCTTTAGGGAGGAAAGACTAAAAGGCTGAACTCAGCTACTTGATGTTTTTAATGCTTGTTCAGAGAAAAACAAAAAAAACACTTGTGGTGTTTACCATTAGAACACTTTATATTATCTTCTATTGACAAATACAGATTTCTGTCATATGCAAGGACTTCTAAAATTCGACTTAGGATCATACCAGAGACAAATTTTCAGGGGCTTAGGACTGACTACCTGAAAGCACAGAAAGATGCCAAATTTCAGAGGTTGGCAATTATTATTTATATTAAAAATTAAAAGTGCCAGAGCAGAGCTTTTAACTGTGGTCTTCATATTTATTCCAACCACTTCAAGATTCAGCAGGATATAAGCGAGTTACTTATTGGTGGATATCAGGAAATACAGTATTAAATTACACAAATATAAGCTAGAACAAAGCACTGTTTGTTTCAAAAGGGAGGGGAGGACCTGCAAGTCTAGAACTGTGGAATAACCCAGGCACCTGGTAGCATCTTCCTACATTCTCTGTGGCTGACCTGGGAAAGACCAACTGCATGCCCAATAATATTTTCTTAATCACCCAAAGTAATACTTGTGAGTACTGGTATTGCTGGCAGGGCTCCCTCTGCCTGGAAATTGGGACAAAGACAAAGCCTTACTGAAAGACTACCTAGAGAAGCTACAATGTGAATTTATATTTGATACTTTACTGAAAAATAGTGTCTATCTGTACCTCCAAAGAAGGAAAACAGAACTTAAAGCCACTTAAAAAATACCCTCAAACCAACAAAAGAACGCTAATGGAGACTTCTGCCACTACAGTTTTTATGAAAAGGCAGTAGAGAACTAAAGGAAGCACAGAAAGTATGTGTTGCTTCTGTTCTATCCTGCTTTCTTGAGAAAATCTTTTCTTGGCCTCGGTGTAGCAAGAGCCTAAACTTGAGTGTCCAGGAAAGAAAAATCTCACTGACAAAAGGTTTAATCCATCAGATGCAGCACAGAGCCTGTGATTGCTCTACCTGCAGACAGTGAAAGTGATTTGTAATTTAAAGAAATTACTGGAAGGTATTTTCAGCATTTAGGTACTTCACCGTTTTCTGTTAAGCAGCACCCGCAATATGAAGGCTACATTTTCTACTACATGTAACAGAATATAACCCCCTGTTTTCCTTATTTCCCATGGCTACAAAATGTAGCAACAATGAAGATACGCCCTAAAATATTGAAAAATATGATAGTCCTCTCTTTCAAAGGCAGTAAAAATGAACATTAAACTGTTATTCCAGGAACTTTTTAATTTTCATTCCTTTTAATTTAGTTTTAGATGTATAAACACAGAGAAATGGTAGTATTGTGGCTGGAAAACACAAATGCCACCTTCCTTTTGGATCTCCCTATTTCACATTTTTTGTTGTGCTACTACCATGCTCCCCAGCATCAGTGTGATCACTTCTACACTGAAGCAGCTGACTTTCAGCTCCATCAATCTTTCAGGAAAAAAAAAAGCAGCAGTCTAATTTCACAAAATATGGCTAAAATATTTACTGAAGTAACCACAAAGTACATCACAAAACACAGCTAAATCTTTGTGGTTTTTAACCAGGGAGTCACCAGGTGGCTCACTGTCTTTTTGTAACTTAGTAAGTCAGAAATAGAGACAGCTGCTAGTGCTTGCTCACATGCACAGCTTTTGAACTCCTGTGGGCAAATTTTGAACAGACACTTCTTGCGGTCACTTAGGTTTAGTATCTTCTTGAAGTGATGAGCTTATGAACTAATGTATCACTAGCAAGGTATTTTCATGTTTCTTTGCTAATTTAGTTATGGGTAGCCTCTAAAATGGGTCATCGTTTTTGTAGGTCAGAGTTCACAGCTTAGGTTTTAGACATCGCTTTTCTATAACACAATTTCAATATGTTCATACTACACGAAACAAATGAAGAATGGAAGGAATGGTGGTGCTGAAGTCCAATTGTAAGCTTAGAGGGAAAAGCTGAGTAAAATCTCTAGTGAATAGCAGAATTTGAGTGGGATTTGGCTTAAAAACTACTGAAAGAACTGTGGCAAATAAAGAGGGTATGGTCAAAGCAGGTCAAGAGTGTGATATGAACCAAGGTGACACCAACAGCAGAGAAAGGTGTGGGTTACAGTAGCAGTAAGCAGCAATAAGCAGAAGTAGTGTCAAAGGCTCTTATAGAAATGTCTCTTTTCTGTCCCTTTATGAAGATAGAGCACTTTCTCAAATGGAAATGTTGCTCTTTTAACTATTTCTATCATTTGACTGATTACTGCTGTTGGGAATGCCTCCAACCGGCCATAGTGAGCTTTCCCATGTTTGCCACAAGGCTTTTCAAACCTGTTCTGATTAAGCAGTGCCAAAAGCCTCATCACTCCCCAGTTCAGTATCTCATCAGTGCCTGACCTCACCTCACCTTTACCTACAGAACACTCCTGTTGAGAAAATCTCTGTAAGTTTATGTAGTTACATGCACAACATATATTCATGTAAGTTTTATCACAAACTTAGATTAAAATCCCTGCATAACTCGCTTCACTACTGGCTGCTTTTGTAGTGTTCAGCTTTGTATCTTAGTACTTCCAACACATTTAGTCTGATAAAATATTGGTTCTTGCACTTCCTGCTTCGGAAGTAATGAAAACTGCCTTTCCTAGGCCCTACTATCTTATAAATTAGTCTAAAAGATAGGCCTGCTCCTAATGCCAACCAAGCCTAACCCTGCTCTGAAGCTAGACAAGGAGAGGGAAAGGAGGAAACCCTAGCCAGTGGGTATATAAACCAATAAACTGGCTGCATAACTTAGCATAAACAATCTGTGCACGAAGAAGAGCTTGTGAATGTTCTGTTATCTGTTATCCTTACTGGGAATACTAATACTGCTTTAGAACACAAATACAATTCAGATTGCTTAAGAATAAGATTACAGATAAGCGTACTTCAGCATTAAGAGCAATGACATTTAAACACAAACACTCTGAAGTGAGCAAGAACGAATTGTTTCAGGTCCTAAAGGTGCATTTGTAGGACATCCTCCCGCCGCAGAGGGAAAATACTACATTTTAAAAAACCACCTAACCTTAATTTTAGAAGTTTAGTGTTGTGACTGAAGTAAAATACAAACCCCCAAATCACTCCCTCCCACACCTTCAGAAGAATACCCACATTGGCACAGTGCACCTTTCCGTGCTGGGGCAGATATGACAAAGTAGTTACTTATCTTCATGTACCAGAAGTATCTGAACAATGCTGTGATTTCATCACAGATATAATTAATGCTCTGAATTTCCAGCAGGTGCTGGACGATGAATCACCAGAAATGTTTAAAACCTTTTCTCAAGAATCTCTCATACCTGGTAAACTGGAAATCAATTTTGAGGAGTTGCTAAGACAAAAAATGGAAGAAGAAAAGAGGCGCACAGAAGAAGAGCGCAGGCAAAAGTTAGAAATGGAAAGGCAAGAATTTCAACAGCTGAGACAAGAAATGGGAGAGGTTTGTACATCAAACTATACATTCAGCATGCTCTGAATAAAAATAAAATGTATCACTTCATTACTAAAATCTCGAAGTTTAAGACTGGAAAGAAAAATTCTGTTGAAAGAAATTTTAAGTTAACACATTTAAGTGAAAGAAAACCAGAAAACCTCATTTTTAAAACACTGGATATAGTAACATGTTTATCACTAATCTACCAGGAAAATGTGTTTATCTCTAGCCACCTTAGAAGTAAGTACAGTTCCAAATTTGTAATTTAGTTTTGCAGCAATTTCTGAAAATTCCGGACTTTTACTAAAATGATTAGATAATATTTATGATATTGGGAGAACCGAAATATCTAGTTCCCAAAAGAAAATACAAAAAGAGAAGTAGGAAAGGACAAAATTCTTGCTTTTCCTCAGAGAAATACTGTGCTACTGAATGAGAAAAAATACAGTAGGCTCAACTTCTTTATAACTGGTGTATCAAGGGTTTGAAGACTGTCACAGTTGATTTTAAGAATCACACACAAAATCTGCTTTACATCCCAAATGTTTAAAACATTCATTCATGAACTTCACACTTCAGTTTGGCTGTGGGTGGCAATTCTTTATTCTTCCCCTTTGAATGTTGGAGAATGACATTAATTTAATTTTGTAGCAAAGCTCGAGCAAGTAGTAATGGCTCTAGCTTGTAATGTTCTCAACTAATCCTGGGGAAGCAGGGAGACACAGGGACATCCAGCTAAAATGCACATACATCTTTACAATCAGTCAGAGGTCATAAAAGGAGGGAGAAAAATATCAGTAATTACAGCTTCAGATGTGGTTTGACTATATAGGATCCAGAACTGCCCTTTCTTTTCCAGCCATGACATCCTGAAATGTCATTTACTTTTTACTGAATTATAAAAATATTTGAAAGGCAGTATTTTTTAACAAAACAGCTGCATTTTAGAGGATTGCTTCATATCTTACTGCAAGCAAGTAGAGGTGGATTTTGGACTCCAGTTAATTAAATTTTTTGTATTGGTCTGTGTCTGGTTTTCCAAGTCCATGAAGCGCAGTTTATTGACAGCAACCCTTGAACAAATGGCATATTTAAGCAAGGTGTTTTAAAATCTGTATCTAGTTGAGCTATGATACAAATGCATTCTTCATGAGATAGCAAGGAAAAAGAATTACAGGAGAAAGGCCTCTCTACTGATTTCAAGTAACAGAACTGTAATTTATTGAATTGTACCTTCTGGGGAGAGAATGGGTAGAAAAATAATGAGGGCATTTTCCATCTTACGCAATTCTGTAATTTCTGAACAGCTGGAAGAAGAGTCTGAAACTTTTGAGTTAAGCAAAGAGTATGAAGAATTGATAAAGCTAAAAAGAAGTGGTTCTATTCAGGCAAAGAACTTAAAAAGCAAGTTTGAAAAAATAGGACAATTGTCTCAAGAAGAAATACAGAAGAAGATTGAAGAAGAGCGAGCAAAGAGAAGAGCAATGGATGAAGAAATAAGAGAAAGGGAAGCTGAAAAATTTCAAGAGGTAAGTTGCATTCTGTGTATGTTAATGATCTACTTAACCAGCACACTAATGATCCAGGAGTGGACAGTGCTGCTGCTTTCATCAAATTTTGCTGTTTCCAAAATTATGTTTTCCTCTCTTTCCTGTTCCCTCCTTTGGATGCTTAAGGATATCACAACTTCAACATCCCTTAAAGAAACAGCACCAGTTTTTTATCAGTGATTTGGTCAGGCAGAGTTTTGCTTTTCTACTCAAACCCATACAATTCAGCATTTTCATCTGAAACCTGCCAGCCTGAGGGCTTAAAACATCCATATCTGAGAATTATCTATTAACCATCTCTTGAACTGCTTCTCCTTCTGAACTCTTTAATTCATTCTCCACTACATGAATAGAATAAAAAAGTTCAAGTACCAAATCCATACAATACCATTTGAAGATTAAGTCTCAGGTATACTCACTCCTCAAAGTAGAGCAGAAGAGGGTACCTACTTGTCTGTACTTTAGACCAGAACCTTCAGTGTTTCAGAGGGGAAACAACAAGAAATGGAGCTATCAGTGTAGCCCACTAACAAAGTGGTCTGTAATTGATAAGTTCAGTGTGAACTTTAGTGACAAAATGTAAAATTTTAACAGTACTAAGCCTTATCTGAGCTGCATTCTGGCTCTTCTCCACAAGGCTCACTTCAGCATCAGCTTAAAGCCTGTCCCATTTGTGAGTTTTTAATTTAATCATTGTCACTCACTGTTCTCATAAGGTCAGCCATTTTAGGTCTTGAACCCATGCTAACACCATAGCATAAAATCCCAATCACTGAGGATTTACAATTGCCAAGAAGTGCTCAACTTCTATAAAAATAAAACTTTAGGAATATTTTTCACCTATCATTTTTGAAATTACTTTTGCACAAATCTTGTCCTATCCATGGGATGAAGTATTACGAGACCTACCCAACATTCAAAGAAACCTCTGAAAAAAAACAGGCCTCTGTGTGGCTTTGCTCAGTTAAAAAAAAATAAAAAAATCTGTAAACACAAAACTAGTTTTACTATTGCATGTATGTCTAAGGCAATAAATAATAGTTAAGCCCTGTTTTTAATTATTTTTTTCCAAGGATGATGATGTAGATGTGACACCAGCCAAGAAATCTGAGGCTCCATTTACTCACAAAGTAAACATGAAGGCTCGTTTTGAGCAAATGGCAAGAGCCAGAGAAGAAGAGGAGCAGAGGAGGATTGAGGAACAGAAATTACTACGCATGCAGTTTGAACAAAAAGAAATTGATGCAGCATTACAGAAGGTATAAATTGTAAAACAATATTCTCCAGTCATGTCATTTAACTTAGCTTCTAATTACCACTGTAGGTAACACTACCAGATACAAAAGGGATGTTTTACTTCTTCTAGCAGGTGCTAGGAATTGCTGCAATAATGTAAAATTGCTTTTGGTGTTTGCACGTAACTCTCCATGGAATCAAAGAATGGTTTGGGTTGAAGGGACCTTAAAGATCATCTAGTTCTGACTCCCTTGATGTAGGAAGGGACACCTCCCATTAGATCAGGCTGCTCAAAGCTCCATCCAACCTGCCCTGAACATTTGCAGAAGAGTACAAGACACAGTGAAGAAAGGTCATGACATCCTGCGAATAGTCTGAAAATGGAATTGACATTCACACCTGTAATTTACACCAACATTCCAGCCTCATTAAAATGCACTTAACTGCCTGTGGCATATCCAGATTGGGTGCATTGTTATGTACTGAGGACAGATGTGGAATTTCCTCTTCTCAGAAACACAGTAACTTGTAATGAAACATTTATCACTAGCAGTCATAGTGCTATTGCCACTTTGTATATTTTAAATCAACTTATTTTAAAATAATTTTTAGAAAAGGGAAGAGGAAGAAGAAGAAGAGGGAAGCATTATTAATGGTGCTACTTGTGAAGATGAGGATCAAGCTCGATCTGGAGCTCCCTGGTTCAAGAAGTCACTGAAAAACACATCAGTTGTTGATGGCGAGCCAGTGAGATTTACAGTTAAAATTACTGGAGAACCAAAACCTGAAGTTACATGGTGGTTTGAAGGGGAAATGTTGCAGGACTCTGAGGACTATCAATATATTGAAAGAGGAGAAACCTACTGCCTTTATTTGCCAGAAACCTTCCCAGAAGATGAAGGGGAATACATGTGTAAAGCAGTCAACAACAGAGGCTCAGCTGCTAGCACCTGTATTCTCACCATTGAAAGTAAGAGCTAGCATTTTAATCTGCTTAAATCTCAGTCTTCTTGCCTCTTTCCTGTTATGAAAATCTAACTTCCTGTCTCTCTTAATCCTTTTTCTGTTTTCTAGCTGATGACTACTAATGCTCTACTTTAGCTGGAAACTTTCTTCCCCTCAACTTTCTTACTGCATCATCTCTTTCTCTGATGGGGCCAACTAAAGAAAGCAAGGATGTGCATTAACTTGTCATTCCTGCAAGAGTTAAGAATATACCCTTCAAATTGCGAGAGCTCCCTACTCAAAGCACAAACTAGTATCAAAGGCTAAGAATAAAAAAATCAATGTATGAAAGACCAACTGAAGGAAAAAGCTGAATTATCATAGTGCTCCACCATCTGAAGACCAACTCTGGTGTAACAGAATAAAGCTGAATACACGATCTGGAAACTTGTGTAGTAATGTAAATCTATTGGTGTATCTTGCATGAGCACTGAATATTTAAGCTGTTTTGCTTTATCCAGAGGCACTGAACTGGCAAAGGAAACACTTACTGATGATTTTCAAAAACCCAAGTGTACTATTTTTAAAGAATAAAAGATGATGTAACTGCTCACAATTATTTCAAGGAGCATAACCTCTTTTGTTTTAAAATGGGCTTGCATTGAAAATATTCTGCTCTGATCAACCTATGCAGCTGATAATCTCAAAGAAGAACAATCTCCTTTAGGTTTGTAATAGTCTTCAAAGTACCAACAGTTGCTTGTAAAACTTGTGATTTTTTGTCATTGATTAAATGACACGGAAACAGGCGGTGACATCTATGACTGGCTCATATTTGAAGCTGGTAAAAAATAAGCTTTAAGACAAATATTTTCATTAAGTGCCTATTTTCTCAATCTTAACACAGTAAGTTAAGATCCCATATCTCTGAACACTGTTTCCTTCGGGCTACTGTACTATTTCTCTCTAACACCTGAAATCAACACTCATGTCACTCTGCTAACACCCATGTGAACTATTCAGATTAAGCCTCTGGAGGAGTAACTTTACAAAAAAAAAATTCACATTTTAAAGTACTTGTGTACAGGCCTTGACATAAAGGCAAGGTAAACTGCAGGAGATTAAATGTATGCAGTCATTTCAAAAAGGAATTTTCCTGCGGCTGAATCTGCTTTCTTTGTACAGTTACCTGCTTCAAATCACTCTCTGGCCTTATTAAAAAATGGTGATGAGCTGCATGGTGTTTTGAATTAGTATATACCTTAATAACCACATAAACATTTTATTTCCTTGTTTGTGGGTGCTGTTCTACAGAAGTACAGGTTGCTACAATATTTTTGCTCTGAAGCTGTTACTTCAAACTAACAAAGGCAGGGATAGGAGCATAAAAAAGACAAAAACATTGCTATTATTATTCATCAGTTTACATTTATTGAGAAAAACCATACAAAAACCATTATACAATTAATGTGTATCCATATTACATACAATGTCAATGCAAGCTCAAAACCACATTTTTGTAAAGCATTCAATTTACCTCAAGTCCAAGCTGCATCTCCCTAAGACACTGTTCCCATCACAGTTGCCTTTTAAAGCCAATCTTCTGTTTACACACGGGTAGTTTCTGCAGAGAACACTTTTCTCAGGACGAAAAGGCATTTCACATGCACGCAAGAGAAATACTTGTGCATACACAAGAGTTTCATAAGCTATTACTAGGGAAGAGGGACTCCTGTCAATCGTATGCTTTCTGAAAAGCCCAGTCCTCCCTCCCCCCACTTCCAGAGAAAAAGCAAAATGGAAAAGCTTTCAGCATGCAATGGGAAACTTAAGAATTACTCTGGAAAAGAACAGGGGAGAAACAGTTTCTACCATCCAATAAAATACCACTAGTAAAAAGATGAAATACTTCAAGATAGGCTGTGCAAGTGAACTGTGATCCTGTCTGCCCGGACAAGTGAAACATGACTTATAATTAAGCTACACTAAAGAATATCCACCTATATTTTATTCCATGTCCTAATAAAGTACAGGCTGCAGAAAGTGATATGAAAATGCTTTTCCTACTTAGAAACATTATGCTTCCTTTTAAAACCTGTCTTACTCTTTAAATTCATTGTGGGACACTAAGTGGTGAGGGTGGGGTAAGCAGGAAACATATCAAGACACCTTTTGGACAGGTTCACTGCATTTCTTAAGCAAGTCCAGTCATCTTTTTGGCTACTGCGGTAACTCCAACAATCTACTGTTGTCCCAGGAACTCCGAGTTTGGAGACAGAGTTGAAAAAGAAACACTAAGCTCTGCACAAATCAGCATGCCTGTAAGCCCTGCAGTGAGAAAGCTGGAAGCCAAAACACCTCAAATGCTACACACAAGAACATCTCCCCTTTCACACACTAGCAATACCCCAAATACACTGGCTTTTTCTTCTCTATCTCCTTCCACAGGCTAAATTAACCATTTGAAAGACCGTTCAAGAAATTTTAGGAGTAACAGCTGAAGGAAAAAGTACGATGTAAAAAGGAAGTGAACAAACGACTCACCCCCACACTAAATCCACAGTATCAAAATCCAAATGGTACACACCTACCCTCTTCTCACGTCAAAAATGAAGTTACATGTTAAACTACAGATGAAATGCTAAGTGGCTTGAGAAACTGAAGCACAACTATTAATTCAGTTCAAAAATTAGCTTGACTGTTTAGAAGAATATAAAGTAAAATAGATGATTTATATTATTAAATCACAGTTTAAAAACTTAACAGATTATGGAACATTTATGGTCAAACAAAGAATACTTTAAAGAATGAAAAGTGATCAAAACAAAAATTATACCCTATATAATTATGTATGGGATACATTTCAAATCTGTTAATCTTTTGCCAATTTTACCTTCTACATGGAGCCCTTCTATGGTCCATGCTCATCGGCTCACCAATGGCATACACTCAAAGGATTCCTCTTTACTGGCAGTAACTATCTCAGGACCTGATTCTATGAGCTATGATTTGGTGCTTGCAGCATCTTCAGCACTGTGTGTGAAAATGAAGGCAGTATTTTTGAATATTTTTCTTTGATGTACAGATAAGCAGGACTTTTGAAAGAGGAGCAGCACAGTTCAGAAACAAAATAATGAACAAAAAAACCAAAGAGATGCTGCTTTATGTTAAGCTAAAAAAACCAACAACAAAAGCTCAGAACAAAAACCTGTACCAGACCATCTGTAAGACATTTAACATTTCATACTATCAAAATATTCAGCAATTCAGTTAAAAGTATCAAGAAAACAGGATACACTGACTGCTATAGCGATAAAACATTATTTGCTGTACTGTTAAGATTTAAGTGGTGCTCATGCTTTTTAGGTTAAAACATACTCATCTCAAACTCCAAAATCTCTTTTCCTACCATGTCAAGTATGAATAAGCAAACTAAGTTATCTAGAGATTCCACTAACACACTATAACTGTAAGACATGTTATCAAGTTCAGTGATAACAACAAGAAGTCATTCTTTACATTTAGGTCTTATGGATTAGGTGGGAATAGTGCCCTATTATAAAAAAAAAACATTTGTGAAGGCTGTTGACATTTCTAACCAAAGCAATTCCTGCGTATTTTAAAGGTTTTGATTCTTTAATTGCAACATTTATCTATTTGAAGTAAAATAATAAAAATTACTTATTCTGATCAAGTTCAATTACTGCAATCTAATAATCTTTTCTAAAAAAAAAAAATAAAAAAGAAAAAAGAAAAAAATACATATTGACCTAGAAATATAAACAGTTGTTTAAAAACTTAAGATTTTCCACTCAAATGGAACCGTGAGTAACAATGCATTTGGGGAAGCAGCAGATTGCTTTTCAATACACAACCACAAAGATCTCACAGGGACAACATTAATGTACTGAAATATATTAATTTATATACTTCCTTAGGTTGTGCTTACCTGTTGCTTTTTTGCAGCAGAACCTAAGGTGGAAGGTCTGGGAAGGCACTGTGAAGTATAAATAATTGCACTGTTTGCAATTAATAAAGATTTTATACCTTAAATGAATCAAAATCAACAGCCTCCATTTTGTGAATGATAAAGAATCCAGTGAATTTCATTTTGCTCAGTTTAGTACATAATAAATGCACCATTCTGTAAGATTATCTACAAAATACCATGCAAAATACCTGAACTATTAAACTTAATACCCTACACTAAAGATAGCAAATACTGTCCTAGCCTTCTTCAAGCTACCAGCATAATTCCTAATTTTGAAAGGGATAAAAATAATTCCTTCTATTTCTACAGCACAATACATACATTGCTGATTACCTGAAAAAACTACTTCAGTTTTCAAGCCTTAACTTTTACTTCTCTGTGCAGCCACCCTAAAAAAATTTACTCTCAAAGCAACAACATGGTGTTCCAAAAATTAAAGCAATTAACAGTTACAGAATTATTTAAAACATACCTACATCACTACATATCCGCAAACTATCTGGAGAAAAAACAACTCTGTCTAACATGTGGTTCCAAAGACTTCAATGTCATGATATGCATACTTTAAACACTGAATGACAGCTGTCTCAGGAGTTCTAACAAAAAAACTCTTACTCAGATAAACAGAAACATGATTTTCTTTAGCTATTGCTAAAAGTTTCAGGAATACTTACCCACAAAACTCAGATTATGTGTATGTATATATATAAGCAAACCTATGTTTCTGAATTAAGAAGCAATGATGATTTCCTAAGATACCAGCACTGTATTCCAACATAATATCACACAAGTACAGCATTTGCATTATGTGGAACATTGACAAAAAGATACTGTTGCAGTTCATCAATTTGTCATTCTGATGTACTTACAGTGCAATGCTCCTTGAAGGAACAATCAAGGATGATACACAGCACAGTCCTCCTCACCCCTATAGAGCTAGTTCTATACTGGCTGGATCAAACCTGCACTTCAACAGACAATGGCAAGACAGACTGTAGTGCATGTAGTCTAATATATGCAAAGAGCCAATAAATATGCAAAGAGCAAACATAGGATTTCAAGAGAATCAGCTTTTTAGTATGAGCATTAGAGCAATAAGAAGTTTCAAGTATATATAAAAAAATAATCAGTTGATTCAAATACTTGAATATTTACAAAAGAGAAGTTATCTGCTCTGCAGGAAGTTCTCAACCACTCCCACCACTCAAACAAAACAGCGTTTTAAGGACAGATGCAATTTCTGTAACTACTATGCATTACCACATTGACTTTTCTATACTGAATTTTGAAGTGGACTACTTTAAACTGAAGGTTTAAGCACATTACACTTTAAGTTTTATAACTAGTCTGAAAAAATCCATAAAATAGTTATGCATGAACAGTTTTGAAGTATTCAATTAAAAACAAAAGTTATCTGTTATAGCAGCTGCACAGGTCTGAAACAGTGGTCATGAATAAAAAGAAATTTCACTGTTAATGCAATGGAAGTATGCCAAAAGATAATCTTCTTAAACACATGCAGTTTTAATCAAGTAGAAAGAAAATCAAGGTATCAAGATTACTGGTTGCTAGGCAGCAAAATACAATGAATGAAAGAGATGCTCCATCTACAGCTATTCTGCAAGAGGGGAAAAACATGCTAATGACAAGTTTTTAAACTCAACAAGATTTATGGGGGGGGGGAAAAAACCCAACTCACTTTGTGTACAGGTACCTTGATTCAGCGTTGCAAATCAATCCTATGATTAATTCTGCATATACCCACATATCCAACTTACCGACACAGGAGGTTTCATATTATTTATTGTAAAGCACAAAACAGGCATTTTAAAAGTGATAAAGTATACATTGAAAAAGTACATTTATATCACAAAGCATTGACCACATAATTGCAAATACATTTGCTGGAATGTGTACATCTACACTAATACTAAAAACAAACCATTTTTTCATTTCTACACAGAAATATTACCTCCTATCAGTAGTGATAGATATTTTGTACATTTTCAAAAACACTATTTTTTTAACCAAAATTAAGATCTTCATCAAGGCGTCTGCATCCATACATTTAACAAAGGTTTTTTCCCCCACACAATGAAGCAAATACTGTATTGTCCACTTCTTATTATTGGCCCTGTGCAGAAGAGATACATAAGAGAT